TGATCTTGCTCCCTTAACAGAAATAATGGAAGAAAGAAAAGGATTAGGGCATTTTTAGAGACCAAGTATGGGTAAGATTCAATCGTTAGGGCAGGGATTCTACTTTCTGCTAGAAGCTTCGATGTGGCTCACCAATTCTACATGCTTGATGCCGTCTTCTTCCTTATGATCATGTACCATGTAATTTCTTTGGGGACAGATTGGGCTGGACAGCTTGATGTTCCTCTTCTTCCTTAGAGCTAGGTGTCGTGGGAATGAATAAGGTACTGAGGGCTAGTTTGGTATGGAATAAGAATGGTCATTCCATTCCCATTCCATTCTCACTTTATTTCACCATTCTCATTCCCATATTTGGTTGCACAGAAAACATCTTATTTTTGTAAAACATATATAAATATGTATATATATATATAGACGACATTTCATTAAATGTTTTTTTTTATTCATTTATTTATTATTATTATTTTTAAAGTGGAAATGGAATGGTCATTCCTTTAGTTGGAAAGTAAAATGAATTAGTGAGAATCACCATTCTCGGAGAATGGGTAAGAACAAACAATGTACCTCTAGGCTAAATTTATAAACAATCATCATTCCCACTTTAAAATAACTTACCAAACTAAAGAATAGAAACAAAAGCATTCCATTCCCACTTCATTTGATTCCATTTACTCACACCAAACATGGCATGAGTGTATTTTGTGTCTGTGTGTGCGTGTGTACGTGTGGGCTAGCTTTTGGCTGATTATTGGAGTTTCGCATGGGAGCTAGTGAAAAATATGTGGGGGGATTTTTAATTTTTTTTTTCTTTTCATATTCATGGGAGGAAAATACTCCTTAAAAATATATTTATTAACGAGTGACTTTTATCCCGTTAAAGTTGAATCAATCCTTCGTAAATATATGTAAATATTAACGAGATTTTTAAACTTTCGTGAAAACAATTTTTTAAGAGGATTTTATTAGCATTCCATGAAAATGTGACCCTTTATGTGTAAAAAGGGGCTTCTACGAGAGAAAATAAAAGATCCCGTAAATACTACCTCGTAAAAACCCACTGTTGGTGTCTATATTTCCAGATTTATGGAAAACAAGATGAATCTCAGGACATTTCACATAGGCATCAGACATCTTTCAACTATAGTTATAATATACTCTGTTTTGAAATAAATGCACAGGCAAGAAAGATACCTGAATTTCAAATGGAACTTATTGAAGTGGTGTTCTAGAATACTTAAAAGTAGACACTGACACTTACCAATATAAAATAAAATGGAGATATGATGTTAGAAGAAAGTTGTTAATATATTTATATTGTATTCTAAATCATATATAACTTTTCTAATCGATATGACTTCCAACTATATTAGGATTCACAATAAAAAGTTATTTATTCTCCCTCCAACTCTAAGATAATCCAGAATGAAACGTTGTGTAATTTCCCAAATGATGCAACTTTTCAAATTTTATTTAAGTGTAATAAAATTCAAAATATGATTATTATTTATTAAGATTGAAAAGGAGTTTTAATTTAAATATACAACTCTTGCTAAAAGACGTGACTTTTAAGTGTATGTGTTTTCTATTTAATACTGTAGTAATTAAACTCAAAATGATATTTTATTTATTTATTTATAACACCAATTAATACACTACAGGAGTCCTATTGAAACAGAACAACAATTGATATGCAATAAACCAAAGTCTATACACACTGATATATATATATATATATATATATATATATATATATATACTTTCAACCAACCCAAATAATTGTAATGTTTGGGTTTAATGGTTGGTTTAGTTATACTAAAGCACTTACTTACAAAAAAGTAAAACAAAATGAAATAGAATTTTCAATGGTAGTATATGACTTTTCTAAAACACGTGAAAGTGAAAATTTTCAATTCAAACAAAGTCCTCTAATATTAGAGTTCAAAACCATTCCATTACATATTTAAATCAATACCTTTTACTGAACAGGTATGTATAACGCCTCGTCGTTCCTCATTAAACTACACAGAATGAGTTACTATTCCTGTATAGAATACTTTACTTTTGAAAAGAATTAAAAGTAACTGAAACATTTTTCTTTCTATTCAATAACATCAACCAACAAACTAAACAAAAGCATTACTTTAAGAAATTAAATAATTATTGTATTATATCTATATTAATTTTTTTTCATAACTTCACAGTAACCATTTAAAATTACTTTAACACAAGAACATGAATATTGTGCTTGAAGCATAGTAATTAAGAATGATTAATATATAAATATAAAAGCCATGAAAATCATAACCATATCATAATCAAAGATACATGCAGGTGTATGACTGGACATAATATGTGATACGTTAGAGAAATTATAAAGGCTTTAGATTGTTGGGGATTTTGGATATTTTTTATACAATTACATTTTAATTCCATTTACATAATCTTATCAAAATTCACTTTGACTAAAACACTTATATGTTCATAACGCAACTAATCGAAACAATATATATAGTATAAATAAAACAATATATTAAACTAATAGGGCAATAAAATTATATAAAATCAATAAGGGAAAAATAAATAAACTTCTGGCCTGTATAATGGAGAGCCACGTAGTTTGCGCTGTCGTAAAGTCTTTACAGCCTCCTTACATGCAAGTTGTGACGACTACGAAAGGTTTCAAGATACAACTCCAATGTCCTCCATAAGCACATTCACAGAGTAACGATTATCAAGTCTTGTAGTGTCACGTTGCCCATAAACTCAGATATATAATTGAATATATATAATGTAGTATTCGGTTGAAGAATGAAAGAATGAGTTTTTAGGAAAAGAAACAAGAGAAGTAAGAACATATTTAATCTATTACAATAACTATATATTTATAGGCTATTTTCACATTCTTAGCTAATAGACACAACTAGTCATAAGGGGTCACACCTCTTCAAAAATAAGTTTTAAAAACTTTAATATTTTATTCAAAAAAACCTAACAGTCTACTGGTAAAAAGTGAGCATAATTTACTTTCAATTGGTAGTGAGGTTAAAGGTTGACATTTTGATAAAATATTGAAGGTTGACATGTTGATATGTTTTATTTGAAAATACTTTTTTTGGTAAATTAAACCGTTCGCATGTAAATTAGTGTAACTGCTAACCACAATGGCTACCGAATGACATTGTATCTTATAAATTTTTAGTTATTAAAAATGACTAATTTAAAGAAAGGTAGATGTTTCCACTAAGCGCTATTATTGAGTGGCACTTATCCGTGGTGGTGTTTGATAAAATTAAAAATTAAGTACCGAAAGTTTTAAGAGCTGAATTTTAAGTGTTGAAATTTTTAAGTGATAAATATGTTTTTAATAAATTTTTTAAATTTTTAATATTTAGCATTTAGTGATAAGTAACGTCCCCATTTTATGCTGTGTTTATCGTTTTCAGTTATATTTAAATTGCGTTATCGAACGTACACTCTTAATTGAATAAGTGTTTAATTTGTTTAACACCAACGTCGTGCTTCCGGTACTTAAATTATTAGTTTGCAAGATGGTCATATAAAAGACGATTTGATATTCATAGAAAGGGTAATAGTGGATACATCTTTTTCAATTTTTTTAGAGCTAGACAAATTACAAGCTTGCTATTTCAGCCCCTTTGAACCTCAAAAGCAGACCTTAATCACCCTCTAATCATACCAAAACATGGTTTTATTGATCTTATATCATTAAAACTTCCATAAATTGAGAATATCTTCTCTAATCATTAACATAAGCCACGCCATTCTTAGTACCAACTCAACTTTCATATCATATGCATATACTGATTACATGCACTCTTATTCTTATGAATGTTCTTAAAATATAATTTTTAGTGATCTAAGGCTATATAAATAAATAAATCTCTCTCTATCTCTCTGATTATATATATATATATGCAGAACATTTACTAGGAAGATTATATATATATAACTACAGAAGTAAAGTATATGCTGCATCAATAAATATTCGTATACATATTCAACAAAAAATAGAAAGAAAAACTCTCCCTTATATACCAGTCAGTCAATTCCATCAATCTGATTAATATACCATTGTTTGTGGAATCTACACGCATATTTATTTAATATAGTCCTAGGGTTATATAAACAGCCACACACACAAATATATATATATATATATATATATATATATATATATATATATATATATATATATATATATTGTATACCCATATAGTACTTCTCCCTCTTCTGAATTTATTTTATTATTATTTTAATTATTTTATTTATTAAATACTATATTATATTTTACAATTTAATCCCTTAATTAATGAACAACTAATTTGTGTTATTAATTTAATAGTTATTACACTCATAATGCTATAAGATGACTTATTTGTCGATGCAATTCCACCTTATGGTATGTAGTTTGTAAAAATTTTAATCTTACAGCCAAAAAGGGTCGATGTGTACATAGAGGGAAGTGTATTTATATCCAAAAAGTGTCGATGTGTGCTTAATATACAGATATATTGAAGAATGAAGACTAATAAAACTATATAGCTTGAGTTCAATGTTTGAATATGTCCATGATCACTATGTACTGCTTCATGTATATTATATGTAGTGGGCTAGTACTTATGTATTTTGAGTGACCATCTTGTTTTGACCTCCATGAAACCTAGAATTGGTTTGTTTGGACGTCTGCATCAAGCATGACAAATTGTATATTAATTTACTTCATTTGATCGAAAAAATTTCAGAGGTCATTAAGAAACTACTTTCTCTATCGATCCGAAAATCATATGTGAGGAAAATCTTACCCCCTTCTCTTACCTCACGGCTGAGGTAATCCCCAAGCTATACCCCCAACTATATAAATGTCTAAGTCATGCTAACTCAATACAAGCACTTCTCTCTCTCTCTCTCACTGGATTTTTCATTTTTCTGTCTATACTAACATTTATTTGTTTGAAATCGAATTCGATAATTTTGTGCTAATGGCAAAGTCACCAGAGACCGAGCACCCAGTGAAGGCCTTTGGATGGGCAGCCAGAGAACAAGCTAGTCCTCTAGGTCCATTCAAATTCTCGAGAAGGTATTACTTACTTCTCTCATTTATATCTCTTGTTGATTTTATATATCCTACATATATGTAAACATGTAGCTACTATTATGATGCTTTTTTGGGTACCAAAAATTTATTTTGAACAATGGTTTTTGTTTTGTTGATGCTCTCTGCATGATCTGAGATGGTGTTGGATTATATGATGCTATGCAGAGCAACGGGGGATAAAGATGTGAGGTTCAAAGTTTTGTATTGTGGGATATGCCACTCCGACCTTCACAATATCAGGAATGACTGGGGCATGTCCAAGTATCCTCTTGTACCCGGGTATGTCTCTGTTTCTTTGTCCCTCAAATTTCAATTTACTATTGACAGGAGAAGGTTTTTGGGGTGCTGATCCCTGTATGACTACATTTATATATGTAAATAGGTACATATTGGACTAATGCTTTTTTGCAGTACAAAATAAAAAATTTGGATGGAAGGAAGAGAAGAAGGGATAGATAAAATATCTCTAAAAAAAAAATTGTATCATTCCATCTTTTTGTTCAGTTAGACAAAAAAGAAGAAAACAAACACACAATTTATTGTATTCGCAGGGCGGAGCCAGGATCGTGTGGCTGGGGGGGGCCAAAGTGATGGACTGAGTGAGAGAACTGAGAAGAGAGAATCTGATGGACTGAGTGAGATACGCATTATGCAGCGAAAAAAATAAAAAAAACCCCAAAATTTCAAGGTAAAGAAGAGGTAGGGCGGAGGTACACGAAGGAAACAAACAAAAAAAAATGGGTCAAAGCACTATAAAATAATATATATTATAACTAAACAAACAAACATGCCAGGGAACAAGAGATTTAGAAAAACTGAAAAACAAGATTTTTTATTTTAAAATATGTTTAAAGAAGTAAAGATGATATAATAAATTATATATATATAATAAACTAAAAAATTTCTTGCGGGGCCCAAAAGTACTCATTACCTTACATAAGTTCTACTAAACTGTTTTTCGACCTATACTAATAAAAGATACTGAATTTCTTGCAGGGGCCAGGCCCCCCCTCGCCTACCCCTGGCTCCGCCCCGTGTGTTCGTTAGGAGAAAAGGGAAGAGATTGAGTTTAAAATTGTTAACCATATACCCATTACTATATATATAGTATTCTAATTTATAGCTAGAGAATAGGGTTGTAATTTAAAAATTATATAATACACCCACTTTTCTTCACTCCTCTCTTTGGCCCATATTTGGAGGGATGGAAATTTGTAGAGGAATAAGGACTCATGCATCCTATTATCATTTCTCTCTTTCTCTACTCTTTACTGAATGAAGGAAGTTTTGTCCTTTTTTTTTTTTCTTTTTTTTTTCTTTTTTTTTCCTCCACGTGTGACACCCTAAATTTGTAACACCACAAATCTTGTCTAGTTCTAAAATATGATACGTGACTCACACTAATCATCCACAATTATCCATGATTAAATAAAAATAACTATAAATAATTTCATTCAAAGATCCAACAAGTCTTATAACAACATTACGTGACTCACACTAATCATCCACAATTATCCATGATTAAATAAAAATAACTATAAATAATTTCATTCAAAGATCCAACAAGTCTTATAACAACATTAACACCAATGAAATTAAAATCCCACCAACAAGGTGAACCTTATTACAAAACTCCTTACTAAGAAATAATATATAATAAAATAAACATGAAGAAAATTCAGAAAGTCTCTATCTCTTCGCTGAGCCTCCTTTAGCAAGTCAATCTTACTTGCTGACTTGTTCCTCATTTTGGTTTGTAAGTTTACTCTTTTTTCTAGTCTCGATAAGGAGGCAATATCTATGCTTCACTTTTCAATAAAACCATTTTTTTTTTTTAAGAGTAATTATGTGAATTTGCTACTCACAAAAGTGTTCCTAAACTCATAAATTCGCTCTTCTCTTATTCATGAAGTTAGGAATAACAATGCCATTTTCTTTTAAAGTAGAGTACAAATATCATCTTCACATATGTACGTACGTACATATATGTGTGAGTTGCGCTACACAGAATGGTTGCATAATTATACTTTGAAAAATATCTAGAGAGCGGTGAATAGGTTCAATTCGTACTTTTGTCCGATTTTTATTTTTAAAATTTTTATGAAAATAAAATTAAAAACAAACCCATGGAGATTTTTATAGTGTCGAGCGAAATGATCCATTATCTCAAAACAAAATACACCAGACTCAAACTCACACCATTCACATTCTACCAAGAACTAGTTGTTGAAGGCCTCAAACTTGCGACTCCTAGTCCCCCTTGCTGCAGATTTCAAGCTTATTCCTCAATCCTTGTAGATAGGGCTATAATTGACCGAACTGAGCCGAGTAGTGGTATGTCCGAACTCGGCTCGGTCAGTGCAAAAGAATGCTCGAGCTCCCAGTTGAATGGTCGAACTTGGCTTGGTAATGGTCACGAGCAACTCGATCTCAGCTCAAAGCTTGTACATTGCATACAATCAGCAAAAGCTAGTATATTCACACAATCAGCAAAATCAAACATTTTATTTGCAGAATCTGAAGAAAAAAAAAAAAAAAAAAAGTGTGTCTGTGGGGATGCTTGCTCGTACTAGTAAGTCCGGTGAGATGCAGCCGATATTATAACTTTCCTATCGATCTCCTCTATCCACCATTTTTTTTTACCATTGAGAGGCACATGCAGATCTACCATTGATGGGGGATATAAGGGAAACGAGAGGGGGTAATTCATATTAGAGCGAGAGATAGAGAGAGGGAAAGAGAATGAATCAACAAGGAGTGGTTCTCACTTCTCAGACTGCAGGAGGAAGTTTGATAGCGACTGGTTTTGGTCTCGTGGGTTATGCCACAAGACCAAATGCTTCATTCGGGTTTAAGCTATTGGGCTTTTGAGGTGAATATAGTATTTAGATTGATTGGGCTTAATGCTTCATTTGGGTTTAAGAAAGAATCTATTAGGGTTGGGCTTAATAAATTAATTAAAATGACTATATATGTGATAGGATAAAGCCCAAATATTTATCATATTTTTACACACGCATATATATTCATGAACTCAAAACGAGCACGTAAACAAACTTGTTTATCAATATGTTCGGGTAGCAAACGAGTCGAGCATGCATATGTTTGAGATTGGCTCTTTTAATAGCGACACTAATAGTTTTGTTTGGTCTCAGTTTGTAGTTTGTTTAGTAAATAAACGAACACCAACCGAGCCCATATTAAGTGGAGCTCAAGTAGTTTGCAAACGGCTCAACTCGTTTGCAGTCATACTTGTAGACAGGTTACAAGTATAACATAAACACCCTCAAATGTTCTGTTTCGTTTGTAACACGATTGAATCCTCCTTTCAATGTTTTGTAGATAAATAAATTTAAAAAATCATGCTTCTGAATGGAAGCAACTTGATCTTCAATAATCTTGAACTCTGATCAGATAAAAAACACAATCCTAAAATCACTCGTATGTTTATAACGTGCATCAAAGTGGAAATTTTGCAAAAATAATCACAAAACGCTTTAATCTAGTAAAAGTCGTAAATGATGTAGGGCAGAAAAATAGTATATATAGGTATTAGAGTGTCCTAAACTAACTTCGAAAATTAGTCAAAGTAGTGCAATGACTTCTCCGTAGGATTTAATCAAAAAGAAAAGTTGAATTTAAAAAAAGTTAAAAATTTCCTTTTAAATCCAGTAAAGCGTGACTGGTTGAACTAAATAAAATCGGTTAGACTTACCAATAGGCCTGTGGCCTAGCGGTATAAGGCTCCTACCTCCTAAAGGGAGGTCAGAGGTTTGAACCTCAGTGGAGGTAGTGTGTGTGAGTTTCCCAACTAGAAAAATAAAAAATAAAAAGATCGGTAAGACTTGAGCAGTTTGCAATTATGATTTAAGACAATTTTTCTTTGCTAAATGTGACCGGTCGGAGTAAGTTGGACCGATTGCACTTGTCTAGAATATAATTTTAAGCTTAAAAACCTAATTCCCATCCGACTAAAAATAAAAATGTGCAATGTATCCTCTCATACACACCTTCTTTAAATGATGTTCTTATCGAATCGAACCATGCATTGCTCATATAGTTTCGCTTCCAACATCGAGAGTCAAAATAGAATAAAAATTACAATTGTATTGGACATGTTTTGACACCAAAATTACTTAATTAGGATGGTATATCTCACAAGATAAATATCTTGGATTTTTGATGGAAAGCTTCATTTTCCTTGGGCAACCAAGTTTAAAGTTGTGAATAGCAATAATCCTAGAAAAAGGTATAGTCAAGATTTCAGACATGATTAATCAGTATGTTATGTATGTTATGTGGGATAAGCTATATGCGAAGGTATAAATCGGTACTTGATGGTTTGATTCCAGCCTTTGAATCCAGAAGGAGTTTCACCTTTTGCGAGAACTTGTTCCGAGCTCAAGAATATTTCCATCAATTTCTTCGTCTACCAACTTGTGTGTAGAGAATGATGTTTCCACGTCCTTTACTTTTGTCTTCAACTACAAGAGGTAGAGGAAAATAATCTCATTAAGATCACTAAGACCCCATTTGACAAGTGTTTTGTTTTTGTTATTTTTGTTTTTAAGTTGCTATAGTGCCGATTTTGGCAACAAAAACATGTTTGGCACGACTTTATTTTATTTTATACAGTGCTAAAACATTTCGTGAAGAGTAGTCCAAAAACAAAATACTAAAAAGTTTTTTTTTTTTTTTTTTTTTTTTTTTTTTTTTTTTTTTTTTGTATTGACAATTGTTCATGGCCCAAAATCATAACTGTTCGTGTTTTTGTTTCCTAAATTTTTACAACAAAACATCTTTCCAAACGTGTTTCCGATTTTTTTTCCAAAACAACAAAAACACTGTTTCTGTTTTAACAAAAAATAAAACGTCTGCCAAACGAGCCCTAATTACTTCTAAAAAGTATAGTCAGTAATTTCTTGTATGTCTCACCAAATTAATCTCTTGGGACCCTATCGTAGGCTTAATTTTATAAATTGTTTAAATAGGTTTATAGCTTCGAATGTTGATCTCTCCCGCATGAATCCCGATTGATTTTCAGATACTGTGGATTCTTTCCTTAGTCTTTCTTCTATCACTCTTTTGCATATCAATATTTATTATATCACAGACCAAATATAAACAACAGAGCAAATTAGTTAATCTCTCTAAAAATATATTGACATCAAAATGAATTGATCGATGCAGGCATGAGATTGTAGGGGTAGTAACAGAGGTGGGTAGCAAGGTAGAGAAATTCAAAGTTGGAGACAGAGTGGGTGTTGGATGCATGATTGGATCATGTGGCTCATGCGACAAGTGCGCCACCGATTTTGAAAATTACTGCCCCAAATTGATATACACCTACCCGGGCACCTACTATGACGGAAGCGTCACACAAGGAGGTTACTCTGATCACATGGTTGCCGACGAGCACTTTGTGGTCGGCATCCCCGACAGCTTGCCTCTTGAAGCTGCTGGTCCTCTCCTATGTGCTGGGATCACAACCTACAGTCCCCTCAAGTACTTTGAGCTTGACAAGCCTGGTATGCATTTGGGCGTGGTGGGTCTAGGCGGACTTGGCCATGTCGCCGTGAAGTTTGCAAAGGCGTTTGGCGCTAAGGTGACAGTGATCAGTACATCCCCTAGCAAGAAGAAGGAAGCCATTGAACTTCTTGGTGCTGATTCATTTTTGGTAAGCCGTGATGAAGATCAGATGCAGGTACGTAACCATTTTTATCTTATGCTAATTAAATTTAGAGATGGAAAAAGAAAAGTGTATACCCCCAATCTAGGTAGATATGTTGGTATTTAGCACTACATTAAAAAAAAAAAAAAAAAAAAAAAAAAAAAAAAAAAAAAAAAAAAATTGATAGGGCATTAATTCACCTCACCGGAATCTGGGTTAGTCGGCCGGACCTCATTGAATCTTCGTCGGAATTCAGACTCTTTCCCTTTCACTTTCTTAGACTTGGGCTTGTTAAAGCTATTTTATAGGGCAATTTAAGGTGGTTTAAGTGTTGTAATGATGAAGAATAAAATAAATTCTACCCTTCTCGCCTTCTCGGGCAACTTAAACTCGAGATTTTTTCTAAAATGAACCCTATATTTTCAAACACGTTCCAACACAATGTAGGTAGATATGTTGGTAATTAGCATTTCATAGAAAGTTTTGACTGTGCATTAATTCTTATATATTAGTATGATGAATGTATATAGGCTGCAATGGACACAATGGATGGTATTATTGATTCTGTGTCTGCTATTCACCCACTCATGCCTTTGGTTGGTTTATTGAAAACTTATGGGAAGCTCGTTTTGGTGGGAGCACCAAAAGCACTTGAACTACCTGTTTTGCCTTTGCTTTCGGGTAAGCATACGAAATCATTAACTTTTACATTTAACATGGGTAGATTAAATTGTTGAATACAAATATTCACCGGTGAATAGATGATCCTATTGACTGTCGAATTTATTTTTTTAAAAAATATTTATGTAGTATTATTATTATTATTTATTTTTTTGATTTATAATTATGAAAAATGTGTGTATTTGTGATTGGATTACATTAGTGGCTGGTAGGGATCACCTACTCACCAATGAATAGGTACGTATTGTCTGATAAAAATTCGCTGAGTAGTGCTTGAATTCATACCCAAGACTGTTCTCTGCCCTACATTTTGCTCTTTAGTCTTTAGACTAGTAGCTAAATGGGAATATGGAATGGCAGGGAGGAAGATAGTTGCTGGGAGCATGATTGGGGGAATGAAGGAGACACAGGAAATGGTTGATTTCGCGGCAAAACACAACATAAAACCAGACATTGAAATCATTCCTATGGACTATGTGAACACTGCCTTGGAGCGTCTTGAGAAGGCTGATGTCAAATACCGGTTTGTCATCGACGTTGGGAACACATTAGAAGTCTCCTGAAAGCCTTGTGGCTGCTGAATCTAGGTTTCTTTTGAGAATATGTTGAGGTCCATTCGGACTTGCTGATGTTCTGTGACTTCTGTTATCCATGTTTGTTATTTTAATTTTTGTTTTTTGTGTCATTAGATGGATTTATAAATAAGAATCAACCTTGTTTGTTTGTCCAATTGATTTCAATAGTTCAATTTTCAATTCTTAAACAGGTTTTTATTTTTTAATTTTTTGTTTCCAGATGAATAATACAATAACTTTAGAAAAAACCAAAACAAATGCTAAAAATAAGATTACAAATATAAAGATAATGATCCGGTAAATTTTCGAAGACCATATATGATGTTTATGTTGTGGTTTTGTGAAGTCTAATTAGGTGATATTTAATTATACGTGTTGTGTGATTGATTAATTTGTGTCAATACAAGAGAGAGTAATTGAGAGAGATTGAGAAAATATTCTCCATTGTAATTCTTTATCTATTTCATAGTGAATTTGTTCGGTGTGCTCCATGAACGTAGCCTTAAGATTTGGATAAATCATGTATATCTTGCATTCTTGTGTGTGCTTTTTTTATTCTTCCTGATTGCTTATTTATTTATCGAACAGCGTTATTTATTTTGCGTTTTCGCCACAACTTGTATTAAATCCGGTTGATTGTGCAGAGCAATTCCAACAACTGGTATCAGAGCCTTTGGTCGAGAACGTAGGGCATAGAAGATATTTGACGAAATTCCAAAATTCTTTCGATCAGATCTGTCAGTTCGAGTGGGAGTAATGACATCAGAAGAAAATGCATCCATATCTATGATCAAGAAGTTCGATGGCACAAACTTTAGTTTCTGGAAGATACAAATAGAAGACCTCTTGTTTCAAAAAAAATCTATATCAACCTTTAGGAAAGATGGTCGAAACTAGGCATATAATGTTGTGAATCATTGTAACCCTTTGGAGTGGACATGTCTGGTGACAAACAGATACTTATAAGCCTATAAATAGCCGCCACTTGGATGCCATTTTTCTCATCATTTTTACAGATTTCTTCTCTTCCTCTCTAGACTTGAACCTAACCCAAGTGGGTTCAAACCATAATATAGATGCATTTTTTAGTAACAGAGAGTATTACGCAGAGGTGGCTCTCCATATCCAAGAGTTTGAAGTGCTGCTACTGGTGGATCTAGACCGTTATATCCTAAGAGACAATTTCCCTTGAGTCTGTCAACACCATGCGAGACGTAAATTGTCTTAAGGATATAGTATCAAATACTAACCTCGATTATTCTTTATTTATTATTACATTATTAATCAAATATTTAGTTAATTATTTTTTAGCATATTGTTAATTATTTTATAGCATATTAGAATAAGATTTGTTATATCTTAAATGTCACATGAAGCCTATAATTTCTAACAGAGTCTTCAGTCCATTAATTCTTCAATGAGGATTCTTATACCTTGTCTAACAAGAAGTTACCAAATCAATCACAACTTTGATAATAGAAATCTAATGAGTATCAATTTACTCCATAAGTTTATAATGAGAAGAACATCTTCTATTGCAGCAAATTTGTAACTCATTAGGCAAGTGTGACTGGTCCGACTTAAGTACGATCGATCAGAAACAAGTTGGACCAGTTGAATTTAAGTGCAACCGGCCAAACTTCTTTAAATAGCATCGTTTAGGACTTTGAGATTCAAACCCAACACACATCGCACAAAGTAATTGGCGGAAATTTAGGCTATCATGACTAAATTTGTGATGACCTTGTGGGCGGATATGCTGTGGGCGGGTGCGAGAGACACTGACAGGCTACCACACTGGCGAGCTACGGGTGCACAAGTCCCACATCGCCTGGGTAGAGGAAAGGTGAAATGCTTATATGTAAGTGTGTCATCTCCAATTGGTATAAGGCCTTTTGGGGTAAAGCCCAAGAGCAAAACCATGCCGGCTCAGACCGAAAGCGGACAATATCATATCATGTAATGGAGTGGGTCGTTACAAATGGTATCAGAGCCTGACCCAACCGGAAGTGTGCCGACGGGGACGTCGGACTTCCAAGGGGGGTGGATTGTGATGACCTTGTGGGTGGGTGTGTTGTGGGCGAGTGCGAGAGACACTGACAGGATACCATACTGGCGAGCTACGGGTTCACAAGTCCCATATCGCCTGGGTAGAGGAAAGGTGAAATGTTTATATGTAAGTGTGTCATCTCCAATTGGTATGAGGCCTTTTGGGGTAAAGCCCAAGAGCAAAACCATGCGGGCTTAGACCCAAAGCGGACAATTTTATACTATATGGTGGAGTGGGTCGTTACAAAATTAGTGTGCTTTAGGCTCTTCGATAAACTACCAAAGCTTAAAAAATCATTGAAAGCCCTAGTTAAGTTACCCTTCGCTACAACCCGAAACTTTTGAAAAAAATAAGGAAGAGGGTTCCATTTCAAACAATGTAGTCTTTAATTCCTCCTCAGTATCAATTTGTAAAAGCCTCCGATTATTTTCCAAGATAATTGATTATGGAACATTTGAATAAAAAATCAAAATCAGCGAGTCAATCTAATGTAAACAACTTCTGAAATTAAGCAACCACAATCCCAGTGACCTATTGATCATCATCACACCACACTTATTAGAATTTTCAATTCCCAAAATAACATTTTTCTTTAATCTACTTGGGATAGGGTGGTAATTTCCCACACATTGGTGGGTTTCCGCCCAGTCCCTAATGGGTTGTATTTGGTACCCCCTAAATAGAGTAGGGGCGGTTATGGTAATTAAAATTCAAACCCATCCCGAGTTCTGGGTCGGGATGGATTTAGTGTTTTAAATTGCCCTAACTCACCACGTGTTTCTTTGATTTTTATTTTTCATTTTAATATTGAAATATATGTTATATATATGTATTATATTTTGTTTCCTTTTTCCCTTTTTCCCTTCTTTCCTCCTTGATTTATTCTTTTTGTCTGCAACTTTATTCCCATATATTGTGTATCAATATAATGTAAACATATCAAGTACTACAAACAATAAGAGAAATATAGTCTCAGTTGCTCTTGATCCATTGTAATACCTCTAATTTTAAAAGGATAGTCTCGGTATTTGTTTATTTGTTTTAATTGTATTGTTAATTATTTAATTGATTATTTAACTAATTACTTATGTGTTTAATTGAATTAGGTATTTCTTGATTATTTGATTACGTGTCTATGTATTATTTGTAGTTGTCTATGTGTTAATTATTTAATTAGATTATGTGCTTAAATGGTGTTTTGATTAATTGTAAATTAAATATTTTCTTTTATTTTATTATTTTATTTTATTTTTATTTTATGGTTATGGTTAGTAGTAATGGGCTAACATCCCATGGACTACTTGGATAGGAGGTTGGATGTGTGTGGATTATTATCCATGGATAGTTGTGTATGTATATATATAGATATATATTATATACATATATAAAAAGGAAAGTAATTTATTATTTACTTTTATGGTAACTTGGGTAGTAATATTTAATCTGATGTATATGTTTTATATTTAAATAATAAAAATATACATAGATTTGATACGTGTTATGTTTTAAGTTACTTTATAATATTATGGTAACTTAAGTATTATTGGATAATCCATTAATAAATAATGGAATGTGTATAATTTATTTATTTAATAAACATATACATAAATTATATACGTAACATATTTTACTTACCTTTTTAATATATATAAAAGGGAAAGTAATTTATTAATTACTTTTATGGTAACTTGGGTAGTAATATTTAATCTTATGTATATGTTTTATATTTAAATAATAAAAATATACATAGATTTGATACGTGTTATATTTTAAGTTACTTTATAATATTATGGTAACTTAAGTATTATTGGATAATCCATTAAAAAATAATGGGATGTGTATAATTTATTTATTTAATAAAGATATACATAAATTATGTACGTAACATATTTTACTTACCTTTTTAATATTTTAATATATATATTTTTAAGTTGACTTGAATTGGAAAAAGGGTCAGGGTTATTTTATTTAACCTATAAATATATAGGTATAGGTTGTAAAAGGGGGTTAGAAATATTCACGTGATATATTTTAGAGAGAGAGAGTTAGAGAGGGAAGGAGGAAAATGAAGGAAGGAGGAAAAAAACCCTGCAGAGAGAAGATCAAGGAAGAAGAAGTTAAACTTTCGATCCGAAAGTTTAAGGCAAGTTCTTCTTCTATCTCTTTCCCTTTGATTCGTATTTCTGTACATGCCTAGGAAATTCCAGGATTTATTAAACACATAAAATTAAATAATTATGCATGTTTAATTGGATTCAAGCATAGGTTTTTATGAAATTGGTTCATATTTGTTCTTGTGTTATGAATTAAAAAATGCATGATTTTGATTTGATTTCTGGTATGAATTTTTACATGTTTGAATTATGTATTTTTCATATCTGTGGAATGATGGAACGTAGAAACATGCCTAGGATTCCTGAACATTAAATAGGGATTAGGTTTGGGTTTAAATAAATTTAAATACACTCAATCATAACGATGCTTGCTATTTGAATGTTTAAACAAACGAATGGATTTAATCTTTTAAAATGCTTTAGCAATTGAGATTAAATGTGTAGGATGAATTGGATATGGAGAATGCTTATTTGACGATATATTAAAATATCATCATGTATAAGATTCCGTTTGTGTAGGGCATATGATATAGGAAACTTAAATAAATAATAAGTCATTCATATTATGTGATAACTTGATATCATATTATCATAGTTATTTCTGGAATGTTTGATGTATTTATTTAATTATTGCATCAATTGTTGGATTGTGTGGTTTAATGCACCGATATGAGACGGCGGCATTCTAGGGACGGATTAACTTATCAGTTAAGTCCTACCTATTTTATATAAGGGAATAGATTAACTAAAATGTTAAGTTCTACTTATTTTCAAGTCAGGTCATCTGAACAAGTTGAATGACTTATGGAGGATTAATTTATTAT